CTGGAAGTCCTGGCTACAGCATACAGACGGAAAAGTGGAATTAAAGTATCCAAATAGGCAGAAGAGATCAAACTTTCACTGTTTGCTGATGATATGATATTATATCTAGAAAACCCGAAAGATTCAACCAAGAAACTCCTGGAACTGATAAACTGAATTTAGTAAAGTCTCAGATACAAAATCAATACACAGAAATCAGAGCATTCATATACACCAACAACAATCAAAATTGAGAACAAATCAAAGACTTCAATTCCCTTCACAATAGCAACAAAGAAATTAAAGTACCTAGGAATATACTTATTGAGGGTAACCAAGGAGGTAAAAGACCTCTACAGGGAGAACTATGAACACTGAGGAAGGAAATAGCAGAGGATGTAAACAGATGGAAATCATACCATGCTCGTTGATCGGCAGACTCAACATCATTAAAATGTCTATACTACCCAAACTGATCTTACAAGATTTCAATGCAATACCTATTAAATCCATCAGCATTCTTCCACAGATATAGAAAAAATAATTTTACGCTTCGTATGGAACAAAGAAGTCCCCAAAATCAAAAAGCAATTCTAATCAAAAAAAACAAAATGGGAGGTATTAATATGCCAGATATCAAACTACACTACAAAGCTGTAGTAATTAAATTAATCTGGTATTGGCACAAAATAGGAATATTGACCAGTGGACAGATCTGAGGATCTGGATATAAAACCATCCTCATATAGCCATCTAATCTTTGACAAAGCAGACAAAAACATACGCTGGGGAAAAGAATCCCTTTTCAATAAATGGTGCTGGGAAAACTGGATAGCCATTTGTAGAAGGCTAAAGCAGGCCCACACCTTTCACCTCTCACAAAATCAACTCACACTGGATAACAGACTTAAAACCTAAGTATTAAACTTATATGAATTCTAGAGAAAAATGTTGGAAACACTCTCCTTATGATATAGGCTAGGCAAAGAGTTATGAAGAAGTCCCCCAAAGGCAATCACAGCCATCAACAAAAATAAATAAATGGGACATGATGAAACTAAAAGCTTCTGCACAGCCAAAAAAACAGTCATGAAAGTAAACAGAAACCTACAGAATGGGGGAGAAATTTTTGCATCCTATGCATCCAATAAGGGACTGATAACTAGAATATACTTAGAACTCATGAAAATCAGCAAGAAAAAATCAAATAACCCTATCAAAAAGTGGGCAAAGACTTGAACATAAACTTTTCTAAAAGAAGACGAGAATGGCCAACCAACATATGAAAAAGTGCTCAACATCTCTAATCATCAGGAAAATGCAAATCAAAACCACAATGGAAATCACTTAACTCCAGTGAAGAATGGCCTTTATCAAAAAGTCTCCAAACAATAAATGCGGCATTGGATGCGGAGAGAGAGGAACACTCCTACACTGCTGGTAGGACTGCAACTAGTTTCACTCTGTGGAAAGCAATATGGAGATACCTTAAAGTGATACAAGTGGAACCTACCATTGATCCAGCAATCCATTACTGAGCATCTACCCAAAAGATCCAATGACACTCTACAAAAAAGACACCTGAACTCGAATGTTTATAGCAGCCACAATTCATATTGCAAGGCTGTGGAAACAGCCCAAGTGACCATCAATCCAAGAATGGATTACTAAAATGTGGTATATGTATACCATGGAATGCTATTCAGCTCTAAGAAACAACGGTGATATAGCACATCTTATATTTTCCTGGTTAGAGCTGGAACCCATACTACTAAGTGAAGTTTCCCAAGAAGGGAAAAACAAGCACCACATATACTCCCAGCAACTGGTATTAACTGAGCAGCACCTAAATGGACACATAGGTACTACAGTAATAGGGTATTGGGCAGGGGTAGGGGGGGTGGGTAATATATATATATATATATATATATAATTATATATCATGAATCGAGATGTGCACCATCTCAGGGATGGTCATGCTGGAAACTCAGACTTTGGGGGAGGAGGAAAGGGCATTTATTGAAACCTTAAAATCTGTACCCCCATAATATGACGAAATAAAAAAAAAAGAAATTTCTTTTTTGGTAGAGACAGGATCTCACTATGTTGCTCAGGCTGGCCTCAAATTCCTGGCATTGAGCAATCCACCTACCTCCGTCTCCCAAAGCGCTGGGATTATAGGTGTGAGCCACTGCACCCCTCCTATGTTCTCTGTTTAACAGGATGGTGGGTGTACAGTTTTATTGTATTGTTATTCTTTTTTCCTTATATATGCCTTGTAAAAATTTTTTCAGTAAGTCAACATTAAATAAAACAATTTTGGAAAAAAGCCCTCCAAACCAATAAAGTTTGTACTTTTTCCTATGTGCATGTATTTCTTTAATTAAAAAAAAACAAGGTAATTAAAAACAAAGCCTCTAGAACAGAATGATTGGGTTGTATGGTAGGTTATATAATTTGATTTTTTTGTATTTCGGCATATTATGGGGGTACAGATTTTAAGGTTTGTATAATTGATTTTTTTTTTTTTTTTTTTTTGAGACAGAGTCGCGCTTTCTTGCCTAGGCTAGAGTGAGTGCCGTGGTGTCAGCCTAGCTCACAGCAACCTCAAACTCCTGGGCTTTAAGCAATCCTACTGCCTCAGCTCCCGAGTTGCTGGGACTACAGGCACGAGCCACCATGCCCGGCTAATTTTATATATATATATATTAGATGGCCAATTAATTTCTTTCTATTTTTATAGTAGAGACGGGGTCTCGCTCAGGCTGGTTTTGAACTCCTGACCTTGAGCAATCCGCCTGCCTCGGCCTCCCAGAGTGCTAGGATTACAAGCGTGAGCCACCGCGCCCGGCCTGTATAATTGATTTTTTAAGAAGCTGCCAATCTGTTTCCAAAATGGTTATACCACTTTACATTTCTACCAGCATTATGAGAGTTCTAGTTGCTCCACATCCTTGCTAACATTTGGTATTGCTGGGTTTTTTACAGTAACCATTCTAAAGCATGTGTAGTGGTATCTCACTATGGTTTAATTTGCAGTGATGTTGACCATCTTTTCATGTGTTTATTTCCTATTTATCTCTCTTCTTTGAGGAAGTGTCCTCTGGCAAATCTTTTGCCCATGTTTTTCATTGGGTTGTTTGCAGTGGTATGCTGGTAAATGTTATTTAATAATAGGTTCTCTAAGTGTTGTTTGTAAGTGAAAGCTAGTTGACATTTTCATTTACATCAACAAATAAGATGTAATTAAAACAACAAAGACAATAAAAAATAAAAAATAAAACAACAAAGACAACTGGAAACTTCAGGAGTGACTTTTCTGAATTAGATAATAGTTTTCAAATATTAGAAGACTATTTCCTCAAATTTTTGTGCTACTCACAATGTAAAGACACAGATGTGACACACTTTTAAGTTTAAATTCTATTAACAATTTCTTCATAAAGTTTAAATAACCAACAGAGCATTAAATCAAGCTCTAGTTCATAGCATTTGTTGATCTATGGTATAAATACTCCCAGAGTGGCCAAAATCAAGCTACCAATATTACTTTGGGAAGAGATGTGCAATAGCATACCACCAAATAATATTTCCACCATACAGTTACAATAGATATAAGCAACCCCAAAAGCACAGACAATGTAAAATGTAGTAAAAGAATTAGGAAATGATGAGTTTTGTTTTCAAGATACTTCGTTGTTTAGTTGATACAATTTAATTTTCTAAATAGCTATATTTAAACAATTTTCAAAATTCCTATGTAACAAGTGACTCTCTCAAGACAGTATGAAATGGCTCAAGCACACCATGGTTGTTTCTCTTTTTTTTTGTTTTTTGAGACAGAGTCTCACTTTGTTGCCCGGGCTTGAGTGAGTGCCGTGGAGTCAGCCTAGCTCACAGCAACCTTAAACTCCTGGGCTCAAGCAATCCTTCTGCCTCAGCCTCCCGAGTAGCTGGGACTACTGGGCATGCGCCATCATGCCCGGCTAATTTTTTCTATATATATTATTTGGCCAATTAATTTCTTTCTATTTATAGTAGAGATGGGGTCTAGCTCTTGTTCAGGCTGGTTTCCCGCCTCGGCCTCCCAGAGAGCTAGGATTACAGGCGTGAGCCACCGCGCTGGGCTGTTTGTCTTATTATTGAGTTGGAAGAGTTCTTTATATATTCTAGATCAGCACAGCCCACTAAAACTTTCTGTGATAATGTAGATATTCTATAATTTTGTGATGTCCAATACGATATCCACTAGCGACCTGTAGCTACTGAGTGCTTGACATGAGGCCAGTATATAGGAGGTACTACATCTTAAATTTTATTTAATTTCATTTAAATTCAAATTTAAAATACCTGAATTAAGACTAGTGGCTACCATACTGAATAGCACAGTCTAGACACAAGAAAGAACCAATTCTCCCCTATGTGGGATAATATTTAAAACAATAATGATAAGAGTTGTCATATTGTGCATACTTTATATGTTCATAATACTGTAGTTAAATGCACAGATTCTGAAGTCAGACTGCCTGGTTCAAATGTTTCCTTCTTCTTAAAATGGAATTAACAACAGTACATACCTCACAGAATGGTGATAAAGAGTAAATGAAATAATGTAGGTAGAGCGCTTGGTGCACTGTCGGGCTATAGTGTAAACACTTAGTAATTGGAGCTAGTGATTAGTCCTGTGTTCTTAGATGAGTCACTTCCATGTTTGAGCCTGTTATGTCTGTAAACTTGGGCTAATGTGCTCCTCACGAGTCACTGAATTGCTCTTAAAAATCAGATAAAACGCCACTCAGAGGTCGGTTATTCATAACCAAAGTAGGAATTTTTGGAGGAAATTGCTATCATTTTCTAAAGAAAAAAAAAACACATCCCTTCGAATATTGCTCTCCACTCCCCACCCCACCCTACCCGTTCCTTTAAAATTGGCCGGGCTGCAGAGAGACGAGTGAGTGACAGCATGTTCGGCCAATCAGAGGCGGCCCCGTCTCGGGCCCACCCCGAGGCCTCGTCCAACTGCTTCCCGGCAGCGCCCGGAATAGGACCGTTGCCAGACGGCCGGCTCCAAGTGGGTCCGGGCGCGGGGGGAGGGAGACGGCCTAGACGCGAGAACTGCTAGGCCCTCTGCGCGCGAGGACTGGAATCCCGCCGCGGCTGCTAGGAGCGCCCAGGCCCAGAGGGCCCGCGGAGACTGACCTGGGCCTAGAGCTCATCCCAGCGGGCAGAGCTTGCCGCGAGGCCCTGGCGTCCCCTCCGGCGCGCTCTTGGAGCCACTTTGCCGAGCGGAAGTCAGCCGGTGGCTCGGGCTCCGGTGGGACCTGCTCCGAGGAATGGCGCCGCCGGGTGAGGCGTTGCGTTTGGCTCAACGGCGGGGCCCCGCGGCCGGCACGCCTTGGGGAGCTGGCCGTCGCCCGCGGGAGGCTAGTGGCCACCGCTCGGGAGCCGGCCAGGCGGGGTCCCCTTCCCCTGTAGGGCAGGGGCATGGGCTCGGGCTCTCGGGGGGTCGAGGATCTGACGGACGGGTGCGAGCTGGTCGGAGTGCCCGCGGCCAGCGTGGGTTGGGGGTGTGTGTTCGTGTGCAATGCGGAGCTACGGGTCCCCCCGAGGCCCAGCCAGGGGAACCGCGGCCGCGCTCAGCCCCAGGCCTGGCTCGGCTCATTCATTTGACTCGCGCGGGCTTCTGGTCCAGGGCGGCCTAAAGTCTGCTCCTCGCGCCGCCCCTTAACACTGTGTGAGCCTTTGGGCACATCTTCTTTCTTTGGGCTATAGTTTCCTTTTCAGTGAAAGGGGGCAAGAAGATCACTCACCTCTCTCGGGGAGACTTAGAACATAAGTTCTGAAGTTAGGCTCTGGGTGCAAACTTGCAGTCTGCCACGTATTCATTATGTGACTCTGTGCACATTACTTAACCCCTCTGCACTTAAGTTTCTCATCTGTAAAATAAGTTAGCCATGTTATCTGTCTTATAGTGTTGCTCTATTAAATGAGGGAATCTCTGGGCATAGTTTAGAACACTGCATGGCACTGAGTAAGCGCTCACTAAAGTTAACTGCATTGGTGGTTATTGTGTGGACACTGCAGGATGGAATTTCACGTGGTCTCATCACAGTTTGGGAAGTGTGTGCTCTTGTGATTTCCATTTGACAGATGAGAAGTTGGAATCCCAGAGAAGGGAAGTAACTTGACCAAGGTGACACAGTGGTTCACGGCCTCATTATCCGAGAAGTGGAGGATAATACCAAGTGGTTAAAAACAGACTTTGGATTCGGGCCGCCTGCAGTTTGATTCTCAGTTATGTGTCATAGGGCAGTTAACTATTTCTGTGTCTCAATTTCTTGGTCTGTAAAACACAGAAAATAGCGACCTCACTTGGGTGTTGTGAGGATTTTATCGGCGCATGCACAGTCCTTAGCATGGTATGGGCATAGCCAATCTATGTTAAGTGCTCAAATTTTAGTCAGAAAAGTTATTTCTGTCATTAACGTGAGGTGGGAAGATTAGGATTCTGACACAGATGCTGTGTTAGGGGAATTTACAGTCTAGCTGGGAAAATGCTAGTCTTAGTCATTCACTAGCTCTTAACGTATTGAGTACATAAGGCATTGGGGATTGAGCATTAGTGTCTTGGTTTCTCTTTCTCTTACATCTTTCTATCCATTAGCAATTCTGATAGGCTTTAACTTTGAATTCTAGTCAGGCTAACTTGGACCATGTCTCACCATCTCCACTGCTGTTGCCCTGGTTCAGACCACCATCATCTTTTTGCTTAGATTATGGCAGTAGTCTCCTAACTCTGCCCCCTTCTCTCTTCCTCTCCCCTGTGCTCCCCAGGCCAGGGAAGCTTCATTTACAGCTGCTCCCCATCACTCTCATCACTTCCTGAGCTTTGCCTCCATACCCCCCACCTTCCGTGGAAAAATGGTCTTCCATGAAACCCATCCTTGGTGCCAAAAGGTTGACAAAAAGGTTGGGGACCCCTGGCCTAACTGGTAACCCTCTTTCTGTCCTTGATACATAGACTATACTCAACACAGTATCATCTCTTCTGACCACTATGATCCTGTTGCAATGTAAGTCATATTACTGCTTTAAACTTTCCAGTGGCTCCCATGTCACTCAGTAAAAGCCAGAGTCTCTACAGTGGCATACAAGGTACTCTAGATTTGGCCTCAGCCACCTCTGTCACTTCATCTCCCAATTCTCATCCCTTGCTTAACCCACTCTAGCTATACTGTCCTTGTTGGTCTCAAAAAACAGCATATATACACATACTCCTGATGCAGAGTCTTTGCATTTGCTCTTCTTCTTGGGATAGTTTCCCCCCAGATGTCACCGTGACTTGCTCTTCCTCCTGCAGGTCTATACTCAATATCTTTATTTCTTTTTCTTTTCTTTTCTTTTCTTTTTTTTTTTTTTTTTGAGACAGAGTCTCACTGCCATGGCATCAGCTTAGTTCACAGCAACCTCAAACTTGGGCTCAAGTGATCCTCCTGCCTTAGCCTCCCGAGTAGCTGGGACTACAGGCATGCACCACCACCATGCCTGGCTAATGTATATATATATATGTATGTGTGTGTGTTTAGTTAGCCAATTCATTTCTTTCTATTTATAGTAGAGACGGGGTCTCGCTCTTGCTCAGGCTGGTTTCGAACTCCTGACCTTGAGCAATCCATCCACCTAGGTCTCCCAGAGTGCTAGGATTATAGGTGTGAGCCACCACACCAGGCTAATATCTTTATTTCTTACTTAGGCCTTTTTAAAACTACCATATTTAAAATGTAGCCCTTCCCAAATATCCCTTTTTTTCTTTTTTATTTCAGCATATTATGGGGGTACAAATGTTTAGGTTACATATATTGCCCTTGCCCCACCCAAGTCAGCTTCAAGCGTGTGCATCCCTCAGACAGTGTGCATCACACTCATTATGTGTGTATATATACCCATCCCCTCTCCCAAATATCCCTTTGATACTTCATTTTTCTCCACTTTTTACCTTTAACTTTTACCTTTAACTTTTTACCTTTAGCACTTTTTACCTTCTAACATGATAAGTAATATTTAATTATTTTGTGTGATGTCTTTCTTTTCTCACTAGAATATAAGCTCTGAGGGTGGGGGTTTTTGTTCTGTTTTTTGTTGTATTTTTAACACCTATAATAGTGCTTGGCACAGAGTAGCAGTCAATATATATTTGATGAATATTCTCTATTATGGATCTTTTTCTATTTTTTAAAAGAGATTTCACATTCTTTAGGTTAACATACATGGGACTGAAATAGAACTAAGATCATAGATGAAGGATTCTCTGAGTTAAACTCTTAATGTAGGCATATCTTTTAAAAATAGTAGGGTGTGAACTCTATTAGACCTGGGTTTGAGTCCAAGATTGGTTATGTGTGAGCTGTTTTGGTCCTCAGTTTTCTTATTTGTAAAATGGATATAAGAATGCCTTTCTCAAGGGATTCTAGTTCAAGCTTAATTTAACACTAAAGGCAAAGGATTGGCCTCCCAGTGCTTACCACAGGCTGTGTTCTTACACTGCCTGTATAGAAAGAGGAGACAGAGTAAAGCTACCCAGTGTACACCCCAGCCTAGGCCCTGTGCCTGGTCTGTATTGTGAATGGGGAACATGGAGTTAAGGGGAAAAAAAGAAAGGCAAAGGATTTAGGACCATTCATGTTAGCCTTGTGATTGCTTGTTATTTCTATCAGTTGAGTGGCAGACAATTAACTTTATCATGAAGTAGACTATTCAGAAGTTTTTTATTTTTTTGGGAGGACAGTGTCTCACTTTGTTGCCCTAGGTAGACTCACTGCAACCTCACACTCCTGGGCTCAAGCGATCCTCCTGCCTCAGCCTCCCAAGTAGCTGGGACTACAGGTGCACACCACCACACCCAGCTAATTTTTCTATTATTGATAGAGACAGGGTCTTGCTCTTGCTCAGGCTGGTTTTGAATTCCTGAGGTCAAGCAGTCCTCCTGCCTCAGTCTCCCAGAGTGCTAGGATTATAGGTGTGAGCCACCGTTCCCAACCCAGAAGTTTTTTAATCGAAAAGTAGAAATGTACCATTCCTACAGCTTCCTGGCTGCTGGGGCATCATAGATGGGGATTGATTTTTCTTTCCATTTGTTTAGCAAATATTTATTTAGTACTTACTGTGGTGTGCCAGGCGGTGTGCAAGACTTGGAAATACTGGGATGAGCCATAAAAACAGTTTTTTGGTTTTTTTTTGAGACAGAGTCTCGCTTTGTTGCCCAGGCTAGAGTGAGTGCCGTGGCGGCAGCCTAGCTCACAGCAACCTCAAACTCCTGGGCTCAAGCAATCCTCCTGTCTCAGCCTCCCAAGTAGCTGGGACTACAGGCATGCGCCACCATGCCCGGCTAACTTTTTTATATATAAGTTGGCCAATTAATTTCTTTCTATTTTTTTTTTTTTATAGTAGAGACGGGGTCTCGCTCAGGCTGGTTTTGAACTCCTGACCTTGAGCAATCCACCTACCTTGGCCTCCCAGAGTGCTAGGATTACAGGTGTGAGCCACCGCGCCTGGCCAAAACAGTCTTTATCCTCATGGAACTTACAGTTTAGCAGAGAAATCCGACATTACACTGTTATAGTTGTGAAAAACACCGCATTAGGAGAAGTACAGATTGCTGTTACAATAATAATGGTAATAGAAGTAGTAACTAAATTTAATATAGCACTTGTTATATGCCAGTCATTATTCTAAGATCTTCCTGTATTGACTTGTGTAATCATCATCCTTACGTAGATACTTAGTATCCCACTTTACATTTGAGGAAACTGAGGCACTGGTTGGCTGAGTGACTTTGCCATAGCCAGATTGCTAATAAATGGCAAATATGTGATTTAAGCCTGGCTCGAGAGCCCAGGTTCTTCCTACTTTATTGTACTAGAGACTAATCCAAGGGAGGGCTGTTAGGGAGGGCTTCTTAAGGAAGAGATATTTGAGCTGAAATCTGAAAGTAAAATTCAAGTTGATGTAAGGGAAAGCATGAAAAAATGCTGGGTAGGAAAGAACATGTCACCTTAGAGACAAAGGAGGTCAGAGAGCAACAGATGGTGAGAAGAGAGAGGGATGATATCTGGTTAAGAGGTAATATGGCAGGGTGAGGATTCAGGACTGGCTATATGCTAAGAGGCATAGAATTTATGAGCATCCTTTAAATGGGAATAGTGTGATACTCCTGTGCTTCAGATGCCTGGAGGCTGCTGGAGGACTGTCCTTCTGACTATTTAAAACTAAGCT